ACCCATTATGTGTGTGTTTTGGTTTTTTATTAAATATTTTTTTTTGCTAGTATATGTGTGTATATTTTTGGTGTATTAATATGTACGTGTTTTAGTGTATCTGATGTATATCTATGAAGAATTTTAATTATTTTATGGGTTAATGTGTTTAACCCAATTTATTATAAACTCAACCCATTATAACTCATTAATAGATTGAATTTATTTTAACCCAACTAATTACACTCAAAAAATAACACGGTAGTTATAACACAGTTTTAGGGTATCGATTCCACAGAAAGACAAATTAAAAGAATAATAGAAGGGACAAAGAAACTAAAGAAAAATTTTAAATGATTACTAGAGAACAAAGATTAATTTTAAATGTAACTTAAAGTGAAACAAAGTGACTAACGAAAAAAAATAATCAAATTTGACAAACAGTAATGCGTCGGGAATCCTTTGCACAAATCTGATATTTTACTTATTCTTAATCCATTGAATAACTCAATTGGGAATTTAATTTCCAAAATTCCTAACCGAAAGATATAGATTTATAAACCAAATGTAACTCTTTAAAAAGTCATTCACCACTTTTAACATACGTAAATTATTATCACTATTAAAAAAATTCAACGACGACAATATACTTAAGAAGTAATATTACAACAAAAAATTAAATCAATATAGATAAATAATTGATCCAAACATAATTAAAGAGTTAATTCATTCACTAGAAAAGGCTTGACTAAATCCATAAATCGAATAAATTTTATGACTATTTAGAGAAGAAAATATCAATAATAAATTAAGAATGATAAAGTAAAAATTTTTAGTAATTAAAAATTAAATATTTAAATTAAAATAAATAAAATATCACCTACCGTATAAATTCATCATTCGTCCTACCTGAAAATTTAGTTATCCATAAAATATAATGGATAACAAAAATCTCCCAAAAAATATAAAGCAAAATACTGGCCATCAAAAGTTTTCTGTTCGGTGAACTGCGCCTGCCCCCAAGCCAGAATAGCCGCAGCCTCCTTTTTTTTTTCTTCCAGCCCCATAGCACAAAAGAAAAGGAAGAATCTTTTAAAAATTAATACCCTTTTTGAAAAATACCATTTCCTCCCCCTCTCTTTTCCAACTTTTCTATTTCAGCTCCTAAAGCTCAAACATTTTTACTTCAGCCCCTAAAATCCAAATCTTGTATAATTTGAGAAAAATAAAGTCCAATAAAAACTATGAGTGTTGGGCCCACGTGACAGCATCATCAATTTCAACCTTTTTATTTCATGGGCTGCCATAAAAATAAAAAAAAACAAATAAAAAAGTCCAACAATAAAGTCCCAAAAATGTTAAGTGTAAAATTTAATTGTAAATTATTTCTCACCAACCAATAATACAATATTTAAGATTTAAAATATCATAAAATCATGCTCAAATATATTTCAGTGTGAATAGATATTAAATTCAATAATATAAATTATATCTAATTATTTTTATTCACATTTTATTCTAATAATAAAGTATTTAAAATACACTTTCGCGCACTCAACACCAATCCACCCATTTGCCAGATCTAACTTTTACCCTTTAAGGCAATTCTAATAAAATCCCTGACATCCAACTAATCATTTAGAATGGGTTCCTTTGTTTTTGCCACAAATTAATCTGATATCTACACTATTTAAATCATCTTTTTTATATTTTCACTTAATTTTACTTAATGACATACCATTTACTGTTAATACACATGAACCCCACTTTTTTTTAATGAATCTCTCACTCATATACAATGGATAATCTATTATTGAATAAAAGTATAACATAGATGATCTCTCTTTAAGTTGTTAAACAATTTGAAACTTCAAAGGGTAGGTCAAGTGACAACAGAAATGAAATGTAAATTTATAAGTCTAAATTTTGAATATTAGAAATTCCTTGGGGCCGGACCATAAGAGATTAATCATTCATGAATACTTTAGTCCCAACATGAATAGTTAGTTGAGATATGCTTAAACTAACCTGAAAAATTAAACATTTTGGAGTTGGGAACACAATTATTCACTCTTTCCAAAACAAAAGTTATACACAGTGGATTATTTTCCTATCTTTGTATCTTTGGTCCAATGGTACTCCTTGTCTTACAAAGGCTTTGCCTTCTTGAGATCAAGGGTTCAAGTTCCCTTCCCTCTCCCCCTCCTCAAAAAAAAAAATATGCAAAAAGTTTACTTATTTGCTCATCATGCAATTTTTATTTGTTTGATTTGTGGATAAATATTGTATTACTAGTTAATATCTGTTCTTGACTGCACGGTGTTCCACAAAAAATCATAACTTACAAAATTTGAAACCCCCTTCATCCCGTGTGTTAGTTTTGCACAGTGGATAATTAACACAAATAATACTTATTGAAAAATAGGAATTTAAAGATAAGAAAATAATAAAATATGACACAAATATATATAATGTGGTTCGATACAACATACCTACTTGGGTACACCGTACCTAAAATCACGAACCAAGAATCTATATCGATATATTATTCACTGAAAATCTGGTCATCTGGTAACTAATTACATAATACTCAACTCTATTTATAGGAATAAAATACTGTAATCCAAACCTTTTTAGATACAACTTGATCTTTATTTTTCCTATCACATGTCTAACATACTTATTTATGGTATATTAAAATTCTTCCAATATAATCCTATTTCATATAAGATTCTCACATTGATTATTTAACAAACTCTTATTCATGATAACTAGGGAGTTTGGATCAAATTTCAACCGCCTCCCTTGAACCAAACTCTTCAATTTTGGTCATGTCCAAGATCGAGCTTATCACCCTTAATTATGATTCACCAATTTTTTCAAGCATTACGTGCAAACATGCTCTTAAGAGTCGTCATGATTCTCTCTGTCTTTTAAGAGCCTGCGTCTTGACTTGCATCTTCTGTGCATCTCTGCCCGCGTTTTACTTGCTCTTGGAATGTCTCAATGGTCAATGCTTCACCATTCAAAAGTAAAAGTATCATGACTCGTAACCGACGAGATACCAAATCATCACTATTGAGTTTATGTCAGCCCAATAGCTCTTAAACCATTAAAATACAACAACTTCAACTCTAAAAGCCAAAAAACCTTGAAGAAACATCTTCAACAAAGCACGTGTGATAATTTTTGAAACTCAAACAATCAGGAAACAACATAGTCTTCTGTTTTGATTTCATACCAACTTAATTTTTTTTTTCTTTGTGAATCTAAATATGAATTGTACATACGTGGCAAGAGAGTATTCTTCAACATGAACATCAACTTGATCATTGAAGTGCTAATAACATGTTTTGATTGTTACACCAGAATCATTAATCTAGCTTTGATTGGCCTACTAAGATCATCAATCTAGTTTTGATTGTTACACCAAGAACGTAAATTTGGCTCTGATACCATTTGTTGGTTTTGTACAGTGGATAATTAACACAAATAATATTTGTTGAAAGATAAGAATTCAAAAATAAGAAAATAATAAAAACATGACCCAAATATATAATGTAGTTCGATACAACATACTTACTTGGGTACACCGTACCTACATTCACAGACCAAAAATCTACATCGATATATTATTCACTGAAAATCTGGTCATCTGATAAGTGATTACATAATACTCAACTCTATTTATAGGGATAAAATATTGTAACCCAAATCTATTTAGATGCAACTTGATCTTTATTTTTCCTATCACATGTCTAACATACCTATTTATGGTATATTAAAATTCTTCCAATATAATCCTATTTTATATAGGATTCTCACATTGATTATCTAACAAACTCTTATTCATGATAATTAGAGAGTTTGGATCAAATTCCAACACCGTGCACACGCAAAAGGGGAAAGGGAAACACTTTAATTCAAGACCACGGCCAACTAACACACTTGCAATTTATATTGAATGTTCCCTCCAAGTCACCATCGCACACCAACACAACCTATTTCCTCCTCTTCCCTTGCCACCATCACTTACAAACCAAAATAGGACATCCTGCTTTTGTTGTGAACATAGAAAAATGCTTTTAGTTAATGCTCGTTTATGAAGGCACTATACAATACAAAAAAATCACCAATTACGAAGTATCTTGTTCCTACTTGTCAGGCCTTTTTATGATTATGAACCTCTAGAGTTTGATTATCACTAATTTAATTGCTTTGTAGAAACATTATTTCTATAGAATATCCTAAATGAGCTACTGAAACCATCAACTGTGGTACCATCAAGTAGTGAATGACTTAAATAAATTGATCCAAATCACATTCAAAGAAGCATAAATCCAACATATATAAGAAATCACATAAACCATACAAAGTGGACCTATTTTTGCAGCACTAACAACAATATATATTTCCACCCACATATTAGATACAACACAATAATTTAAATGTCTTGAATATACATAAGTCTTTAAAAAAGAAAAAAGAAAAATAAGTCCTTAGGTTTACTCTAGAGGTTACCAAAGAAACTCAGCGCATTCATCAGGATCTCAATAAAAATGAGTGGTGTAATATACTATTTCCTCCGTTCCTAAATATCTGTCGTTTTACACAATTGTTTTTGTTCCATAATATCTGTCGTTTAATAAAATCAAAACATAATCAATATTTTTTTATTTCAAATTTACCCTTAAATTTTCAATGCATTAGATTAGGTGAAAGTTAAGTGTCTTTTATATTCCTTTCCTTTCTAATACGTATTGAATAAAGGTATTGTAGTCTTGTGTAATTATTTTTTACTCATATTGCAACTATTTAATAGTTTCTTTAATCCCTGTACAAAAACCTTAAACGAAAGATATTTAGAAAGGAGGAAGTACCAATTAGCAGGCAANATATTGTAGTCTTGTGTAATTATTTTTTACTCATATTGCAACTATTTAATAATTTCTTTAATCCCTATACAAAAACCTTAAACGAAAGATATTTAGAAAGGAGGAAGTACCAATTAGCAGGCAATTTTAATCTTTAGCAAACATATGACTGATCAAACTTCTAGAAACATCATCTGTTATATGAATCTCTTCCTCTGTAACAGATTTGCCAATAACATTAAGCAGAAAAATTCAAGCACTAACATGCCACCAAAAACCAAAAAACAAATGTCTACAACATTGTACACGCCTTCTGGGTCTCAACTACATCTAGAACTTCATGAAAATCAGCATTAATCTCCATCAACCACAACACCGTAGAAAGGGTTTACAGAAATTTAACAGATAAACGAATTGAAAGTTTTGCACAGATGAACCAAAAACGTTGAAAAGTTACAGAAATTTATTCAGATTCAATTTTTTTCACACATTATTAGTTCGTTTTTCTAGGGTCCCTTGCATGACCTTGTGCATTGTGATGATTAAGAAATGACAGGTCCACATTATCATGTTGTATGTATCTCTGCACCACAATCAAAATTCCACAAAATCTATATATAATCAATTACATAAGCCATCCGAAAGATAACAATGTTAGTTACCTATGAATTCTAAAACATCACTAAGAGCATCTCCATCTCCAAGAGGCTAGGTAAACCTCTCCATTTAGCTATTTTAGATAGTTCCTCCTCCAAAAGTGGCTCCAACGGATTAGGTAACCGGCTATCTATTTCCCATATCCCATTTTTTGCTCGATAAGTCTAGCTAGTCAATATCTCCCTCGCAGCCAGACTCCACCTCTCTCTGCCTCTCCATGGATTGAACTCCATCGACTGAGAACTCCATCGATTGAACTCCAGCCAGACTCCACCTCTCTCTGCCATCGATTGAACTCCAGCCAGACTACACCTCTCTCTGCCATCGATTTGCTCAGACCATCAGCCAGATTTGCTGCCTCCATCGATTGAACTCCATCGATTGAACTCCATCGTCTCTCTCTGTTCGCTGCTTCAGGTATTCTCATTTCACTTCTCAGTTCGCTGCCTCTCCTTGCCTCTCGAATCACCCTACCCAATCATTCTCAACCCAGACCCAATTTTCTTAAACCTAAAGCCCCAACCCTAGTTTTGATTTGTGCAGTTTTGCANTTGAACTCCATCGTCTCTCTCTGTTCGCTGCTTCAGGTATTCTCATTTCACTTCTCAGTTCGCTGCCTCTCCTTGCTTCTCGAATCACCCTACCCAATCATTCTCAACCCAGACCCAATTTTCTTAAACCTAAAGCCCCAACCCTAGTTTTGATTTGTGCAGTTTTGCAACCCAATTTTGAATGCTTAATATTAGTTTGAATAATTGTTTGTATTGATATGGGGCATATATTTATATATTGATCATTTGTGTATATTGATTCATGGTATGATATTGAATTGGGTTTTTCATTGAATAATTTTGCTGTTGTGGGTGGTGTTTGTAATGGTGATGTGGTTTGGTCAGACATGAGTTGGGGTAGAGGGGGTGTTTAGATGGTGAGATTAGTGGCGCTCAGATATGGTATTTGGCAGATAGAACATGAATTGTTCTTGTGATTGAAATCCCTGTACTTAAGAACATTTTGATGGGAATGTGCTTCTTCCTCCCCAATTCTATAACCGAACCAAAAGCTCACCCACCCAACTTCTCCGGTTTTGGATTCATATCTTCTATTTCCATTTTCAAGTATCTGTTACGTGCTTGACGGAGAAGTTGAATAAGGAGGAATCTGCATATAAGATTTTTTGAGTAGCCATTTCTGGGAGTACTGAGGGGGTGCTAAGCTGATCATTCTTTCTGTCGTTTGCAATGGAACTTATGATGAGCACAAAGACCTATACAAGTAAGATATTGGAAAAGATGCAGAAATGGTCTGCAACACATCTAGAATATTCTTAATCGTGTTTCCAATCTGTCTGGATTGAAGTAGATCTTTATATGGCAAAGCAAAAAGTTGTAATTATATTATTACACTAGCTATTATTGTAAGACTTGAAAAAGCAAGGGACAGCATGTTGTGGATCCTTTTATCAGTGTGCTCATTTCTTCATTTCACTTATCTTGTTGGAAACTTCTTTTTATCAAAATTAAATTCTCCAATGGGATTCTAAGTCTGGTCTGCTAGAGTTACCCTTGTTCTCTCTTTTTTTTTTGCTAGACTTCAACTGGGACCTCTTATATCTTGTTGTGTTGCCATGGAAAATCATTTTATCTTGTTGATTTATCTTGATTAGTATGATTGGAAGCATTGGGTTTTTGCTGGATGATTATGGGCTTTGGTTTGAATTTAATTAGGTTGGTTTTATTGAATTGCATTGGGTTTTATTGAATTGCCTTTGACCCTTTTCCCAAGTTCATATCTTCTAGTTTCATTAATGATCATAAAGAAGTTTCAGTAATGATCATTTTGTTGAAAGTACACTACTTTTTCTTGTTCTAGAAATAGCCTGGTGGATATTTATTTGGTATGGAACTGATTAGAATTTTGTTAAGTAACTTGGTAGCTCAGTAGGAGTTGAACATTGTTTGTCTCATCTTATAGGCATTACACATGGATCCATTCCAACATGGTGCGTACTTCACCAATCTCATGCATGATGGAAAAAATTTAGATTACGAGGTTATAAGTCAATCTTCACCAATATCTTCTAAAGTAAAATCCACCCCCAAAAAACAACGAGGTGACAATTTTACATCAGAGGAAGATATTATGATAATATCGGCGTGACTTAATATTAGTTTGGATGTTGTGCAAGGAAATGAGCAAAAATCAAAAACATATTGACAAAGAGTTTGAGAGTTCTTTCATGAATACAAACCTAAGTCATGCCATAGTCGTAATCAAAATTCTTTGATGCATCGTTGGTTGGCAATTCAGCTAGCCACCAACAAATTTTGTGGGTGTTTTGCACAAATAGAAAGATTGGATCAAAGTGGTTCGACAGAGAAAGACAAGGTATGACTGAATATTTTTTTTACAAAATAGTATACTTTTAATGACATGATAATGAGTTTTGTTGTAAAATTNCTTCTATTTCCATTTTCAAGTATCTGTTACGTGCTTGACGGAGAAGTTGAATAAGGAGGAATCTGCATATAAGATTTTTTGAGTAGCCATTTCTGGGAGTACTGAGGGGGTGCTAAGCTGATCATTCTTTCTGTCGTTTGCAATGGAACTTATGATGAGCACAAAGAACTATACAAGTAAGATATTGGAAAAGATGCAGAAATGGTCTGCAACACATCTAGAATATTCTTAATCGTGTTTCCAATCTGTCTGNTACAAAATGTTGATCACAATCTTCCACCTTGGATAAAATACGAAGAAAAAGGGCTCAATTCATTTGAAACCTTCTTCGGAATAAATTTAGGGGATATATAAGCGGTTCAGCAAAATAATCATGATACAGTCTCTCGTGGCCTTGAACTCGATTGCGAAAAATAACTGAATGACCTCGAATGGAACCATGACGTATGGCTGAGCTTTTCTCGCTATTAACTTTGTTCATTTCAATAGCACAAATTGTTTCCATCTCCAATTCATCATCAGAGTTAGAATCGTTAAGAATCATGTTCATTGCACGATACCGAGCCATAACATAAACACAAAGAAGAGTTTATAGAGAAGAAATGTATTTGAGGTGTATGACAATGAGAGATGGAAGATCTTATTTATACATATTAAAAAATATGATCATTATAAATATGACCGTTGTAAATATGATCGTTGCAAATATGACCGTTGAAATTCAATTTTTTAAATTTTGAATTTTGTGACCGTTGTAAATATGATCGTTATTAATAAAAAATATAATTTTAAAATTTTGATGATGTGACGTAACACGTCAGCATGTGATGTCATCAATATGGTGATGACATGACATACTAAATAATATTTTATATTTTATTATTAAAAGTTAGTTAAAGTTAATTGAAGTGGTTAATTAAAATAGATAACGTTGTTGGAATGAGTTTGAAAAAGTAGTTAGTTAAAGTAAATAATATAATATTTTAATATATTTTGAGTAGCTATATTAGATAGCCCTCTTGGAGATGCTCTAAGTAGATTAAAAAGGCAAACGATGATGACAAACAAAAAATACGGAGTTTAAAGGGCAAAAAACGCAAATTGAATACTGCTTTTTCCACTACATGTTCATCAATCCTAACCAAAATCAACCATCACCAGTATTTGTATCATCTCTATTCAAGTGAAAACGAAACGGCTCGTTGGCGTTTCCTCAACAGCATTTACTAATTGAAATTGCCCATGTAAAATCCTCCCCCCCCCCANGTTGAAAGTACACTACTTTTTCTTGTTCTAGAAATAGCCTGGTGGATATTTATTTGGTATGGAACTGATTAGAATTTTGTTAAGTAACTTGGTAGCTCAGTAGGAGTTGAACATTGTTTGTCTCATCTTATAGGCATTACACATGGATCCATTCCAACATGGTGCGTACTTCACCAATCTCATGCATGATGGAAAAAATTTAGATTACGAGGTTATAAGTCAATCTTCACCAATATCTTCTCAAGTAAAATCCATCCCCAAAAAACAACGAGGTGACAATTTTACATCAGAGGAAGATATTATGATAATATCGGCGTGACTTAATATTAGTTTGGATGCTGTGCAAGGAAATGAGCAAAAATCAAAAACATATTGACAAAGAGTTTGAGAGTTCTTCCATGAATACAAACCTAAGTCATGCCATAGTCGTAATCAAAATTCTTTGATGCATCGCTGGTTGGCAATTCAGCTAGCCACCAACAAATTTTGTGGGTGTTTTGCACAGATAGAAAGATTGGATCAAAGTGGTTCGACAGAGAAAGACAAGGTATGACTGAATATTTTTTTTACAAAATAGTATACTTTTAATGACATGATAATGAGTTTTGTTGTAAAATTTTTCAGATTCGTGATGCCAAAAACTTGTACAAGGAACTCTATAAATTTTCTTTTCCGCCCTTACAAATTTTTTCAAACTTTCTATTACGGTGCTTTCACTAATTCTCACATAATCATCAACAGCATCTGCTACAATTCCATAAGCAAGCATCCTTATAACGGTTGTTATCTTTTGAAGGGAAGACAAGCCAGTAGTTCTAGCAACATTTTTTTTTTGTACAAAATGTTGATCACAATCTTCCACCTTGGATAAAATACGAAGAAAAAAGGCTCNGACAAAATGTTAATCACAATCTTCCACCTTGGATAAAATACGAAGAAAAAAGGCTCAATTCATTCAAAACCTTCTTCGGAATAAATTTAGGGGATAGATAGGCGGTTCAACAAAATAATCATGATACAGTCTCTCATGGCCTTGAACTCGATTGCGAAAAATAACTGAATGACCTTGAATGGAACCACGACGTATGGCTGAGCTTTTCTCGCTATTAACTTTGTTCATTTCAATAGCACAAATTGTTTCCATCTCCAATTCATCATCAGAGTTAGAATCGTTAAGAATCATGTTCATTGCACGATACCGAGCCATAACATAAACACAAAGAAGAGTTTATAGAGAAGAAATGTATTTGAGGTGTATGACAATGAGAGATGGAAGATCTTATTTATACATATTAAAAAATATGATCATTATAAATATGACCGTTGTAAATATGATCGTTGCAAATATGACCGTTGAAATTCAATTTTTTAAATTTTGAATTTTGTGACCGTTGTAAATATGATCGTTATTAATAAAAAATATAATTTTAAAATTTTGATGATGTGACGTAACACATCAGAATGTGATGTCATCAATATGGTGATGACATGACATACTAAATAATATTTTATATTTTATTATTAAAAGTTAGTTAAAGTTAATTGAAGTGGTTAATTAAAATAGATAACGTTGTTGGAATGAGTTTGAAAAAGTAGTTAGTTAAAGTAAATAATATAATATTTTAATATATTTTGAGTAGCTATATTAGATAGCCCTCTTGGAGATGCTCTAAGTAGATTAAAAAGGCAAACGATGATGACAAACAAAAAATACGGAGTTTAAAGGGCAAAAAACGCAAATTGAATACTGCTTTTTCCACTACATGTTCATCAATCCTAACCAAAATCAACCATCACCAGTATTTGTATCATCTCTATTCA